GCTGAGTTGTGAGCAGAAAGTGCTCTGGCCTTCTTCAAGTTTGGAGGGGAGGAGAGAATCCAGTCCAAGTGGACACACACACACACACCTCATTTGCAGCATGCTGAACAAACCAACCCACACAGCCCTTGGAAGGTGGGCTCCTACAGGATAGAGAATTGTAGTTGAGTCCAGCCTGGAGAAAATTTAAGGACATCATGCCTTTCAAAAACCAGCCAGTGAGGGTGGTGCAGATCTGTAATCCCAGTTCCGAGGAGGGCAGACAGGAGGATTCCTGTCTGAGACCAGCCTGGGTAAAAGCCTGGAAAACAAACTAAAAGCAAAAAAAGGGGCGGGGAGCATGGATCAAGTGGTAGAGTACAAGGCCCAGAGTTCAAACCCCAATACTAAAGCAGAACATAGAAACAAATTCAGAAGTCTTGGCTGCTGAGCAAGATGAGAACGTGGAGCGGGAGGGGGGAAGCCTGAAGAGGTGGATTCCGCTGGCCTGCGTTTTCCAACCTGCCTGCTCTTTTTGCAGGGGAAGCAGAGGGTGGGGGGAGGCTCCAGCACCCTTTCATTGTTCCAATTTCACACAACCCCTTTCCGCCCTCTCCCTACATAAACAAGATATAGCAACATGGCTTTTCTAATTCCTTCTCAAACCCCAAGTCTTCTCTACTTCCCGAAGGCTCTTCTCCGGAGGATGGGGAAGCTAGGCTTGGCAGGATTCTGCAGGTTAGCCTCCTGACGCTGTTCCAAAGATAAAACCAGACACTGCAAAGTCTGGACATGACTTTCACATCTTAACTAGTGAAAACCAGGGCTTGTGCTTTATTTCAATTTGCACAGAGTCCCCTGGGCTTTTGTTTTGTTTTGTTTTAAATAAGGAAAAGGAGTGTCTAGGGGGAGGGGAAGCCGGCAGGAGCTCTGGTAAAACTTAGGAAGGAGTGGCCAGTCTCAATGCCCTGGGCCCTGCCTCTGTGTATTCTCTGTGCAGGAAGTTGAGTCTGTCCTAGAAGCACAGACTAGAAAACGCAAGAAGCTCTGTGCACTTGATTGTTACAGTTTATTTATTTATTATTGTAAAGATACTGTACAGAGGGGTTACAGTTACATGAGTAAGGTAATGAGTACATTTCCTATTGTCAAGGTCTTTCACACTCACCCTTTTTTTTTTTTATCATGAATGCTACTTTTCCGCTGTCTAAGGTGTTTTCCAAGCAGGTAAGCCACTTTGGAGATAGAAGTGATAATGGTGCCCATCTTAATTAGTATCCTAAAGTGTTATAGCCAATTAAAAATTAACTGAATCATTTAATCAGTGGCTGTTACAAAGCTCACTAGCAGATATGAAAAACAAATTAGCATCAGTTAACTGGTGAGACAAAGGACAAAGGGTGAACCAAGGCGACAGCCATGGTCAGGATGAACGTTATAACGTTATAACTTGGGGGTTGTACCAGGGGGTTTCACGGGACAGACCTATCTGTGCATACCCTGCACCTTAGCCTCACTTTGCTCTGTCTCTGGACATGTAGGCAATGAACATTGATATTTATTGTGATTTTTGTCTGTTCTGGGTCGTTCACTCAGGGCCCTAGGATTTTGTTGTTGTTGTTGTTTGTTTTTGCTCAAGGCTACCATTTGGGCCACTGCTCCACTACGGACTTTCTGCTGGTCAGCTGGAGATGAGAGTCAGATGGAGGTGGGAATTTCCCGAGGGGCTGGGATTACAGGTCGGAAGGGCGGCCTGTTCTGAGAGTCCTGGAGGCTTCTTCCCGCCCTGGAACCCTGCCTGGTCCCAGCTCCGAGGAAGGGCTGGGCTGGGGCCTGCGGCCGGGACGCGCCTGGACACGCGGCTCCCAAAGGCGGACCAAGTTTCCAGGCCTTGGGTCCAGCACCAAGTTCAGCCGCGCGCCTCGGGGTGAAGGGGAGCGGTCAGCGGGGGGGGGGTGTCACGGTCGC